AGGCGCCTGGACTGATCAAGAGGCTGCGGCTGTGGCCAGAGGGTTGTATTCGGAAACTGCAGGGATTTGGCAAAGAATCTGGACAGCATGTTGAAGGCAACAGTTGGGATGCGATGACCATGGCACTTCTATTGCATCTTTTGAGGGCCTAATTAAGATGCTGTTGAGAGTTGTGAGGGTTTGGGATACGCACTGCAGATGTCTTGTGGACAGTGAACATGTATAAGGTGTCCACTTTTCAAAAACAAAGTTGCAAAAAAGAGTTCTTTGCAGTGATGCCACAGAAGAACCACTTCGCAGGAACACTGAGAGAAAGAACAGGGTATTTCACCTGAGCTCAACAGCTAACAAAAAAGGCAGATGGGAGCTACACAATTAAACATGCAACCTATGTATCGGGAAGAATGTTTCAATAGTGTTACCACTGAGAGCTATGCACTGAAATGTTCTCTAGGGAACCAAAAGTGGTTCTTCTATGGCATCATTCCTAAGCATGTAAGGGTGTAGTTTATGCATCTCTTTGTTCTTCAGCCTCCTTTCTCTCCCTACTCTTTCTCTCTTCCTCTTCATCCATTCACCACCTCTGCAGATCCTGCAAAAGACCCCTTTTTCAAGCTGCCTGGGGTCACATTTAACCTGGAAGTGCTGTGATTGGGCTGGGGGTCACTTCACAGGCCTCCGAACCGCCTGCACCCATCCGTCACTGTCAAACCGTTATTAGTGCTATTATCATCAAAGTCAGCGTCTAAATTATTGCACATGCAAAAAGCTGCGCTGCTCGGACTTAGCGGTGACCTGTGGCAGGATGACTGCCAATAGGGGTGAGACCTTGCCAATGACATCACTGTAATCCCTTAAAGGCCGAAAAAGGCTGATGCTGAGCAGAGCAGTTCTCCGGGTGAGGAACTGCAGATTGCACTGCACTGGAACATTCTAGAAACTTCCACCCCATGTGTTTGATAAAGATCATAAGGGTTTGTAAAGGTTTAGAAGAATTCTGATTAGCATCCCAAGAAGATGGCTTTAATCAGCAAGTGGATTTTTCTCCATGATACATAAAACCAACACAAATGTTTACTTAAACTCTCTGTTGGAATCTGGATAGAATACTTTATTTGATATAAAAGGATAGCGGACGATGGCCTGGTCCTTCAGCTGAGAAGCTAGTTTACAGAAGGCTCAAATATTTTTCTTATTTTGCCTATTCCTACATGAAAACTAGTTTTGAGCCTTTTAAAGAGGCTGTCTGAAGAATCACCAAGGCCCAATATTCACAAAGCATCTCAAAGTAGGAGTACTGCGGCTAATGTTGCTAACTCAAATCTTTTCCACAAATACATGCCCAGTGCTTCTCCCAACCTGCTTAAAGCGCATCCAGTCTTCATTAAAGTCGCACAGACTTGTTGATTTGTTGTAGAACACAGTATGACTTCAGCACAACACCTGTTTTCTAATCTATAATAATCCCCATAATAATTCAGCTACACAGTGAAGTTTTTCATTTTTATAGCTCAGGGTATGTCATACTGTGTCCTGACCACATCAACAGATCTGTTCAGCCTTATTGAAGACCTGAATGCAGTTTGATCTGGTTGAGAGAAGTTTTGGGAATGTATTTACAGAATATTTTTGGGTGACTACTGATTTCAACTGTGTCTTAGCAACATTAGCCTTACACCTCCAGCATTAAACGAAAGAAGGAAACTTAACTAGCTCAACCACCAATGTTACACTTACCCCTTAAACTGCAGAGGCCTGTATGTAGGCTTACACTTCAATTACTTACACTTATAACTACATAACTTATATATTGATTTCACAGTAGTTACCAGGCCAGTGATTAACCTTAAACCTGAACTGAAAAATAATAATTCCTACACAAGTCAAAGGAACTCATGTTTACCTAATTATTATGACTAGTTATTATACTGTGCACACAGCCTGGCCACTATTGCATCATATCCACATTGCTGCCCTGGACACGGAATGGCCCGCATTGTCTGTAACCCAAATGTCAATCCTCAATCTTTCCATGCCAAGGATCTTGAAAAAGCATTGTAGTGTTCAGCCACTGCATATTCATGAAGTCAGTGAGGGGGTAAAGCATTGGCAGTGAAAGAAGAAACTGGCGTGGCGGGGAGTCTAACTGAGTCACAGACTGCTGAGTATGCCTTCAAGCTGTCCGTCACCACCAGAGTGTGTGCGGTTGCATGTTTACTGAAGCAAAAGAGACTCAAATGAACTTGCACACAACACACAAACACATACACACACACACACACTCCTGCATTCAAAGTTAAATGGAAAGAGCACAACTAATATGTAGGATGTACCAATACAATGTATTATACTGTATTTAGCCATGTCACTGTATTGTCACTAGCATGTTAGCATGTGTTAGCTTAGGATGAGCATATTAGTTTATGGCTAGAACACATGACTGCCACACTATCACACATAGCTATTGTTTTATGTTTTATATGGAAATATTATTATACTGATGTAAGTCAGATTTTCAACTACTCCTTATTTTTGTGTTGAAATGTATTGAAAAATGGATAGACTCGAGACATCACTGTATCGTTTGAAATTGCATTATGGATTTTATGAGTTGTTACACCCCTGACCACAATCCTTCACATCATTTTAACACCCTATACTCTTCCATAGCTACGTTTTATTTTGAAAATTAATAAATATAAAAAACTGAATAATATAATTACTGACCAATGCACTTTAATGCTGATGTCAGTGCTGTGTGTGCAAGAGAGAGAGAAACAAGAGGAAAAGATAGAGAGAGAGAGTGAGAGAGAGAGAGAGGACAGAAAGGAAAATAGAAATGGTAAAAGAGTGAGAGAGAAGAGAGAAATAGTAACGGAGGAAAAGACAGAAGAGGAGAGATTAAAAGTGAGAGACAGGAAAAGAGGGAAGAGAGAAGAGAGGAAGATAGAGTGAAAGAGTGAGAGAAACAGAGGAAAAGAGACAGAGATAGACAGAGACAGAGGAACAGAAAGGGAGATTGAGAGAGAGACAGAGAGAGGAAAAGAGAAACAGAGAAAATGGAAAACAGAGAAATAGAAACTGAGAAATAGGAAGACAGGAAGAGAGAAAGGAAAAGAGAGAAACAGGAAAATAGAGAGAAAGAGAAATACAGAAAAGAGAGGAATTTAAAGAAAGAGAGAGAAAAGAACTGGATGAGACAGGAGATAGCAGTAACAGAGAGAGAAAGGGAGATCTTCCATTGCCTGGTCCGTCTCCATCTTGGTGACTGGCTCTCCTCTTTGTCCCCTAAATGGTTTATGCATCCCTCTGGCTGATGGGAGAGGGGTCAAGGTTCACCCTCGACAACCCTGTCTGGTCAATCAAAACTCACTCAGTGCCAGAGCATGACCAATAGACAAATAGAGACAAAGGAAGAAAGAGACAGTCCTGTGGAACAAATTGTCATTTTTTCATTCCGGTGACTCAACTTTTTGGTTTCACCTCTGAGAGAAACTACTACATGTTACCATCAGCAAACCCTATTTCATACTTTGATCCCTTACCTTGTACTGCAGAACATATTCTTTAGCCTGTCAGTTACAGAGCTCTCTCTTTTCTCTACACTCTTATTGGTTCCTTAACTGTTCTTGGGTGTATGGATCAAAGAAAAACCTTTCATTGGTATAGAGCCTTATGTGGATGCTTTAAAGGTTCTTCATACTCCAACAGCTCATTTGGTTCTGTAAAGAACCATCCATTGAAAGTTTTTTTAGAGAACCAAAAGTAGTTCTTCTGTGGCATCTCTCCAAAGAACCCTTTCTGACATCTTCATTGGTAAGAGGGAAGCTGGTGATGTGTAAACATGAGAGAGAAGAAAAAGCCTGGAAGCTTACCTGTGTGGTGTGTAGTTTCATTCATTTAAATTCTAAATCAATAGGGAGACTTCAAAAAAAACTTCTTAAACTAGTTCAATTTTTTTTTATTAAGCCTCTTAATCCATTATTAATACATGTCTAATGTATAATGGCCAAACTAACCTAAAAAGCTATGGAATTATGGAGGAGGCCTAATTCATCCTATGTATAAGACAGGAAAAGAGACTGGATACTGATAGACTGCCAAAAATCCAGCAAATAAGCATGTATATAGTCAGTTACTCCATCTAAATAGCTATTTAAAGCAACCCAGCACTTTATTAGCCGTTGACTCTTACATCTGAGTGAGTTAATGAGTGTCCAGCTCCCCTTCGGTCCATCCCGGAGGCCCCACTAATCCCCCCTGGCTTACCCTGCAATCTCTGCTCAGCCTCCACTTCCAGAACCTCAGGTGTTTCCGGACACACTTAGTCTTCACCCTTGGTCACCTGGGACTCCACAGGGTCAACTTTTGTTCAACCTTTCTCCAGCATCTGTGCTCATGCAGCCATTATAACAGCAAGAGAGAGAGAGAGAGAGAGAGAGAGAGAGTTGCCAGGAATGCAAGGCCAGCATTTGTGGAAAACAGGAGCAGGAATAATAATGGCAACTTATAAATAAATAAATAAATAAATAAATAAAAATAATAATAATAATAATAATAATAATAATAATAATGTCTGCAACAAAATTTCTCAAAATGTATAGCTGCATTCATCAATAAATATGAAGCATGATGCAAATGAAGCAAAATTACATAGGTTATATATATATTTTTCCTGGATCTAGAGATACATAGCTATATAATAATAATAATAATAATAATAATAATAATAATTTTTTCACGGATACACATTCAGTTACAAGTCGCAATATCACTTCCTATTGAATCCAAACTTGACGGTTAGCATAAATTAAATCTTTACATTCAGCTACCAGATAATTTGTCAGATTTTTTTGTAGGACCATCATTAGAGATCTATATCAAACATCTGTTGTGTTTTTTTAAAGGGTTTAGCGCGTTTATCCGACGCTTTAAGCTCGCTAAACTGCTCCTCACAGCCACTTGTGAGAAAGTGCTCGAGCTGTTAGCTCAGCCGCGCCATGATGAGCATAATCAAGCATCCAGCAGCTTTCCATGGACGGAAGATGAGAAGGAAGACAGCGGCCAAACGCCTTCTGAACAACGACAATGAAGGAGGAGACTCAGAGCAAACACAGTGTGAAGCTATTGAGGTGAGTGTGCCACTGGGCTAAGTCTTCAGTGGATGTAAATATTAGCCTTTTGTCGCCGGCAGGGCAGCTAGCCGTTGGAGATGTGCTATTATGTAGCTAATTATACCAAGTGTTTTCCAGCATAGACCGTCGAAGATGAGGCAGCAGCTGCACCCTCTCAGAGACAAGCAGGAGAAGCTTACATCATGTGATGCTGGTCCTCTGAAGCTCATAACGAGGGTCTGATTTTACTTACTTTTACCTCCACCCTGCTCAAAGCAATCCACTTTCTGATCCACTCATTGCCCCACGGTGCCATGGTGGGCGTATTCACAGTGAGAAGAAACTAAGAAGCTTATTGCACTCGTTCTGAAAGCTGTGTCCTCTTTATCAAGTCACTTTTGGTGAGATGTTAGCGTGAAATTTGACAGTATATCAGTGTTCCCTTTGTACTCTTTTCTGACAGACTTTTGAAGTTGAAAACACAGCAGGACTGACCATTGGAGATGGTGACATCACTATGGAGGTAACTCCTTACCTCAAGCAGCAAAGTTTAAAATATTCACTTCACGCAGTTTTACAGGGCGAATTCAGTAATCCAACAGTGTTGCAACAAAACCTCATACATCCAATATATATATATATAGGAGAGTGAAGAAATCTTTTCATGTACTGAGATTTTATTCCAGATTATTTTGGTCCTTTCAGAAATGATAACTTTACAGGACATGGAAAACATGTTCTTAATGTTCTTAAAGTGTATATTAATGGAACAAGATTTTATTTAAAGTAAAATTGGTCCATTAGTCATTAGAAGTATTCAAACAATGTAAAGAAATCAAAACTAAAGAAAATGGAGTTGTGAGGCTTTGACATGACAAAATATTTTTTATGTTTGTGAGATGTACATATATATATATATATATATATATATATATATATATATGTAAAAGTATAAATGTAAGATTTTTCAGTCATGTGTTCACATCCATGTGTGATGTTCTATGTGTAGTTCTCCCGCACGATCACAATAGTAAGCCCTTTGGTTTTGTTCCAGGTGTTAGGAAATCTCCAGACCTGCACAAGGTCAGAACTCATCGCCATGGTATTGAGCATGCAGAGGGAGACGGACAGCCTCAGGGAGCAAATCAAGACTCTCACAGGTCTGCATGAGGTCTCTGGTGTCTGAAAATTGAATCAGTCCTTACTTAACTAGCAGCCATATATTGTTGCTGTCACATCTCTGAAATGACATCTTTGTAAGACACAGAATCATCTTCTTAATATTTTTAAACATTCTTATCAGTTATTTTTAACCATTTCTGTGAGTTCATTCATCATGAAATTGGACTTGCAAACAGGCTTATGAGTTTCTTTAAAGGAAGAACTTAGTATGTGAAATTTGATGATTTTCTGTTACAGCAGTGATATTCCAACAAAAGTTTGTACGTCCAAAAAGATCTTTTGGAATCAGGTGAAACTAAACTCAGCAGCAATGTTTCTGTGTTCTGTACAGCTTGTGGAAAGTTGGCGCAAACTCTTGAGGAGATGGCCAGCAAAAGCGATGGATGGTTGAACTGCTGCAGTCTAAATATGACCCCCAGTATTCCGAGAGAACATGATGGAAACTCTGCACCCAGTCCGATTCCTGCTTCAAAAGTCCAAAGTGACAGTGGGATAGAGCAGCAGAGCTCCACTCAGCAGGGCTGTGGTCATGACGTAAATGAGAAAACACCAAGAAGTGAAACACTTCTATACCAAGAGGTAACCTATCTATATAATTATCTTATCCTTCTTCAGTCCGTGTTCATGATGCTCATGGTGAATTCCTTATTTGCCTTTTTAATACTTAAATAATTTAAAAGAATGTATTCTTTATTCATTGCATTTCCATGGGTCAGTGTGGCATTTTAAACTGAAAACAGTGTCATGTAGCAATTCAAGCAGTTCGAATAAGCCCTGTATTTTGACCAAAACTATATGTCCTTTCTGTTTTACTTTTGTTTATTCTTTTCCCCATTACAATACAAGTGGACAAGCTTGGCCTTGATGTTTCCTGGATCATATGATGGTGGTTGGTTTGGGGAAAGCTCCAGCTTCCCGTAGCCTTCATCTTTCGTTTTGTTGTTTATCCCCTAATCTGCTAGTCAGCACTCAGCAGACACATTTCTGCTCATGCAATTATATACGGATAATGAAAACGCATTCTGTTTACACTTGCCTTCAGGGGCAGTCTTTGCACTAGGCAAAGGTAGGCAGACGCGAGGGCCCCCCATGAGCCAAGGGCCCTATGAAAATACAAATTAAACATTCTACATGTGTTGATGTTAAATAAGCTATGCAAAAATATAAACATTATAAAAATAACTGTAATTTGTGATTGTAGCAATTATTTTCAGTAATTTCAATGCAGCCACACCTTTTGGTCATGGTTGTAATGGACTGTTACATGGTGTTACGTGATGACACTACTGCATAAAGACAGACCGCTATGAACAGCGCTATTAACCGAATCGACATTATGGAGAAGATGTTTGTTTAACGTTAAGAGGGAAAATCAAATAAAGTCATCCCAGTGCAGCAGAGAAATGGATTTAAACAAACATCAGGACAGTAAAAAATATTATGGGCTGCCACGAGGAGAGGTTTGAAAGTAGTTAAGAGACAACACTGACATGCATACAATCACCACTTGTTGTATATTTATTTGTGTTTATTCTAATGTAAGTGTATGTAGCTTTTATACATACACGTTTGTAAAATAGATTTAAAAATTTAATTTTCTCAGGTCCCTAAAACTTTTGCACAGCACTGTATGTTCAGCAGACCTTCAGCAACTGCAACAGAAAAAAGTAAAAAGAGGGAGGAAAGCAAAAAGTTTGTTGTTTCACTCCCAGAGCTAACTTCATTTTTCCAGTCAGAACAGAGCGCTGCAGACCATACATGATGCTAGTGTTAATGTTAGTATATAGCTTCAGTTTTGGGTTAATTACTCAAAAAAGTAATCCATTACAAATTACTATTTACTAGTAGAATTACATTACTTATTATCTTTTGTAAAAAGTAATCTCACTACTCATTACTTAATTTCTATGCTACTTTATACCTAATTTTCTCACTATAATGACAGATACAGCATATTTTTGAAAACAAGCAAAATTATCTGCCAATATAGTGAATAATTTAACTTAATAAAATTACTTAAAGCAAGTAAGTCTAGAAGTAGTTAAAAAACCTTATAATATTCTTACAACCATCTCAAAATGAGAAATTTTAAATACATGATGATTTCACTTGCCAAAACATTTTTTGCAGTATAGACGGTTGCGCCGCGTGGAAGCCCAGAGACTCAACTAATTTCAAAATGCGCATCCAGGGGGCTCCATACCTGTCTGTTACCTAGAATCCCAGAATCACCACACCCGCTCTGTTTGTGTTAAATGTGGTCAATCTCTGTCTCTGACCACCTCAAATGTAGTTTAAGTGGTCTGATTGTAATCCACTCACAATGCGTTCTGAGGGTGTTTACATCTGGCTTTTCATGTGGTCAGGTGAAGTCCGAGCATAAATTATTAGCATAAAAAGTGTGCTAATGCAAGGTGTAAACAGGCCGTAAGTTTGCTAAGTTTTCTGCTGCTCTTCTTTTACTTGCCATCATGTTCTGCAAAGATAAATGCTAGCTAGTAAACACATAGCTAAAAGAAGCGAACAAATCAAAGCAGGTTAGTTGAATTTATGAAATAATCACAAGCAACAACAGCCACGTTCCAGTCCAACAAATCAGTTTGGAGATCCATTAAATGATTTTATTCCCACAACGTTCATACGTGAATGCACTTTTGTGAATGCACTTTTGTAAAATAACTAAATGTTATTTTTCATAGGTTTATGTTTGTTCATAATATGCTGTATTAAGTTTATATTAGTGTCCTTTTTACACAAGACTTTTAACCCAGGTCTGGGCCTTTTAGTTGCAGAATACTTGGAGAAATGGTGTGTGGATGCAAGAGTTATTATAGTTTTTAAAACTTCAATAGTTTTTATTTTTATTTAGTTCATTATTTTTATCTAGTTCATTTTGATATTTAATTCCAGTTTAGTTTCAGTTAGTTTTAAGGGTGCATTAATAGTTTCAGTTTTGTTTTTATTTTGTCTTAGTTTTAGTGTTTAGTATTATGATGAACACTGTGATAGTAGATATTTAATAAGGGTAGAATAAAATTAACACAGCAGTGGACTGAGCTCAGCTTGGCTCCAGCCGAACACAGAAGAAATCTGCTTCTAACCTCCCATTCACACACTGAAAAAATTAAAACAAAAGTTTTTTTCTCATTAATTCTGTTTAGTTTTAGTTAGTTTTGCAGTGGACATTATTGTTGGTCCTTGTGTTTTTTAAAAGTCTTTTTATTTTTATTACAGTTAAGGAGTATTTTTTTTACTGCTAGTCTTCCTATTAATAATAGTTTTAGTTAACTCTAATAACTCTGATGGACACGCACTCATGTTGCAGTTGGGGTCCCTGAGAAGGCACAGTATACCCACCTGTCCACTCACCACTTCCACTAATTAAATCTATAATAAAAGCGGGCATTTCTGAATGTCGGTACAAAAGGTGAAATATTTTAACACTTGTAGTTACATTGATTTAAAGTTTGTGTATAGGTGATCATGAATCAACAGATTATGAATCCAGCATCCAGGATACATAGACTTATGCATGCAGAAACTGATACATGAGCTCAGTTGATGAAAAATCCCCCAGAACTGGCGGATTGAAAGTGGAACTGACCTCACACTCCAACTCTGCCTCTCAGGTTATCCCAGCGGAGCTGCTGGAGCGCTGTAACACAGGGACTACAGCCCAGAAGCTGACCAACGAGCTGCTACGCGGCCTCTATGACAGAGACTGCCTGGCCTCGCACTCCATCTCCGGCGTCATTAACAGTAAGAGAGGACAGCCCAAGCCTGCACTGCCTGCCCACGAGATCCAGGCCATCCTGAGTATGTTCACCGTAGGGCCCCTTCTAGGGGTGTAAATATGCATTGATGCAGTGTGATCATCAGTATTCATTCATTTGAAGGTGATGATTCAACTGCATGAATTCAGGAATGTTGCAGTCAAGGTGTTTTTTAATATCGAGTTCCAATATTCAATAAAATACACACTCATTATGTGGAAAAAAGCTATTCAAGCTATTTTCAAATACAAAAATAAAAGTTTTTTATTATTTGAAATCCACTACAGTGTAAACAGTTCCTCCAGTCAGTGTATTTTTTAAAAATAATAATTCTGAATCATAAAAATATAAGGTTTTATTATGCATTGAATCATTCTCTATAGAATCATAGCCAAATTGAATTCCTTCCCTTCCAAACTGTGTTTATTTTTTCAATGTAATAATTTTGATAATTAACACCTTTATGTCTTACCAATTAAGATGTTAATTAATTGTACATTTGCATATTTGCTTTGTTGTAATCAGTTGTGCAGATATAATTTTAATTTTTTATGGTCACATGCAGAAAAATTTAAGAGATCTTGTTGGCTTCACTATATGGAGAAGCTGATTTTTATCATTTCTATTGTTTTTTCATATTTTTCAACAGGAGCAGTGCAGCACTACTTCCCTGGAAAGACAGACTCTGAGATTAAGGGCTATATTCGACAGAAGCTTCAGAATGAAGCCAAAAGGTTGAAGAAGAAGCCGCACCCCGCCGAGGATCCATTGGTTGGGCCTTAGAAAGGGGTGGGTACAGAAAAGTAAGAAAACTGTCACCAGTGCCAGAACCAATGAACAAATGGACATTTCCTCTTAGAAACTTATCTTACTGTCTTTCCAGTCACTAGTGAGAAAATTGTTATTCTGGTTTATTGTGGTGTGACTTTTACATTACTATGTTTTTTTTAATATTGACCAAACATAACTGTGAATTTAAAATTTGCATCCATCTTGTAGAAAGAAATATTATGCATTGTTTTATGATAGGTAGCTAGAACTGAAGTCAGGTTTGTCCAGGTTGAGGGCAAGTCAGGTTCATCCAGACTACACCTTCTTGTAGCATTAATGGAGATTGTATAGAGGCTGTCTGTGCATAGAAACTATAAATTAAGCATCTGTTGTTGTTGAGGAGGCTTTGAAGGCATGCATAAGAAGGGATGCAATGTTTTTTTACACATAAGTGGCTCTTGACCACATGTAGTAACATGGATAGTGTCAGTTTCAGTTGAGTACAGTGTGTGATTTATGAGGTATGAATGTTGTCTCTGTGAAGTCTCTATCAGAAAAGCCTGATCTGTATGTATTATATGAGCCAAGCTCACTTTTCAGTTTTTGATTAACTTAGTTTTTTTTTTAATAAAGAAAAAAAAGTTTTATATGATTTCTGCTTACTTTGATCAGCCATTTTAAAACGTACACAAAATGTTAACAAGCAACCCAACAATATATTTCAAGCTCATGGCCTTTTTTGTGTGCTATGCTCTTATTAAGTATAGTGCTTATCAGATCTGTTAATGCCAGTGTTGTAGGGCCGTATGTAAACTGGTGCTACAAGGTTTGGGGTATTGTAGCACAAATAAAAGTATTTCAGCTAAAATAGTCCAAAATACATCTTGCAAGTATAGTAGTACAGTTTTTATTTTAACTGTAACAACAGACCAGGAATTTAATGTTCATTTTGTAAAGTTATTATTGATGATTAAATCTTTTAATGCAGAAAACTGGTCAGTGAATGGCTTTAAAATTTAACGTCCCAGACCTCTTAGAAGAAGTCTTTGACCTAATGGAGGGCCATTTCACAAAGTTATTGAACTGATTTTTAATGTAATCAGTTCAAAAGTAGGCCCAGTGGGGGGTGCCTCAGCCTCTGTATCAAAAGACATCTTTCGACTGACTAAAATCCTAAATCGTCATTTGGTTTATGTTTAAAAATGCAGCCTTGGGCTAAACTTCTGCTCACAGGTATCAATGTGAATGTATTTTGAGACCCTTTGAATAAAACATCTGAATTTGTTCCACTATGTTCAAACTAACTCTGATGAACTACATTTACCATAAATACCAGAACTGATGTTTATGGTAATTGCAGTTCGGAAGATTGAGTTTGGGAAAATTTGATTGTATTCAAACTACCTGATTAACTGCAACTATCATTAACATCAGAATGGGTGCTTATAGTAGTTGTAGTTAGCAATGCAATGCAGAGGAGAGTGATTCAGCAGTTTTTGAACTGTTGTTTGATATATAACGCACTGAGTATTGAGCATAGTTCACAAAGCACCATGAGGACTAGGATGTGACAAAATGTTTGGATGGAGATGCTACACGTATGCATGCAGTTCTGTCTGAGTGTGATCTGTTTTGGGGATTTTTCACAGGATTCATTTCTCCTCTCACGTGCAAAGATACTGTCGCGCTATACAGCCCCGGTAAAAGAGGAGACCCAACCTACAAGCAGCTCTGACATAGTGAGTAGAACTGAGTAGAGGTTTTATAAGCATAAAAGGAGAAGAGTCTTTAAAGTAATTATTATATAATAATAATAATTATTATAGAAGTACAAAACGTGCTCACTTCATTTGAACAGTCCATAATAGATATCTACAATTGCTTGAATAATTCACAAGCTGTCTGGTGAAGCTGAGATGTTTCTCAGGAGCAGTAGAGTTAGGATTAAGAGTGAAGTTAGGGTTAGGTTTAGGTATTGGGCTGAGATTAAGATTAGGGTTAGGGAAAAGAAGAAAAAAAATAATAAATTTAAGACAAGGTGATTACAAACAACAAAATCTTACAAAAATAATCTGTGTAGTTTCATTTTCAGTCATTTTTTTTTCTTAAGTGACTTTAAATTGTGGTTCCTTCGCACCATCAGATATTCAGAAAGCCTTTAGATCCTTGGTTGCTGAAGCTGGTTTGAGAGTAACTCATCCCTCTACCAACCAGCTGTGCCCCATCCCCCCTACTAAAACAGTGGAAGACTGGGGACAAAGGACGGCGTGGGAACCGCATATGGTACATAATCAATAGGCCTTATCACACACACACACCGGCTCACTGACATACGAGCAATGGGCCGGGCCATTATCAGTGATACATGAACCTAATCCATTTAGGTGTCAATGATACAACAGATCGGAGCTCAGAAAAACTGTGGTTTTGCTATTGGAACCATATCTCCACTGATTCAGCCATCTTACAGCCCCCCTCCTCCATTTTCAGACAGGAGATCCGCTAACAGGAAATCAATGGCCTTCTTTGGTAGCACCAATTTTGAACATCCTTATTGTGCTGTTTTCTTATCTACTGTGTGGTGAGCAAGAATTGGTTTGAATATATTACACTGTTTATCAAGGCAGTTTGGATAGTTTCTTAGCTAAAATTCACATTCATTTATAGAAAAAGATTTTAAAATAATAGTTCAGTTAATAATGCTAATTTTGCTAATAAGGAAGGGAACAGGCAACAATTAGCATGATGGTAACGACATCATGCCAGTTGTTGGCTACTACCTTCCATTCATTTTCAACGTTAGCAGCAATAGCATGTATGGATGAGCTGTTTCATTAAAGATCCCATATCCTACATTCTTCCTCCCTGATGTCCTCCCATGGTGCTTCTGTTCAGGTTTAGAACTCTTTTTTTACATGACCATTGTACAACTTGTGTTTGTCTCGTGGAATTAAACAAACTGGTTTTGCTTCAGTGCCTTTACAAGAGATATATGTAAATGACATCTGCTCTGATTGGCTGTCCTGTATTGTGCCTCATTCAAAAAGCTGCCCAGGCCGAATCATTCCTTATAAGTTCAATATAAACGGCTGAGGCTAAGCTGCTGTAGGCAGATACATGTACATGCATTGTTTTTTGTGACATCCCGAAAACAATAAATTAAAAAATGGACAGTTTTTGCAGTTTGGTGAAATTTATGGACTATTTAAACTGGGGAGTGAATGTTTTGAAACTCTAATAATGCCTATATACTAAATCAAACTCTTTTATTTAAAATAAGTGAGGGAAATTTGTTTTTCTATTATAAGAGCCCTTTAAGTGTCAAATTTCTGTCTGTTTTACTTTAAGAAAAATGTCTGCTATAGGTGCTTAGACCCTCCTAACATATCTTGAAAACATGGCTAAATGGATCTCCTTTCAGGCCCCTCATGCTCCTCTAATGGGGCCAACACAAACACACGTGGGCCCTCAGCAGGGCTTCAAATGAACCTGGTCAACAGCAGAGGGAAAGAAAACAGAAATTAAACGTTTGCAGAACGCTGGTGTAACACCTCCTCCTGGAGAGCCATACGATTCCTGCCGAGCTGTAATATGTCATCCGAGCAGCAGCTCCGGCAAAGGACATATCCCACAATGCCCTGCAAGGCGGGGTGCCGTGGTACCCGTTGTGGCGCACTTGCATGCCTCCATGTGCCAAGTTAACTTTCCATTTGTCTTTTTCTTCCTGTCAAGAGCAGGACAAATATTATGAGGAAAAGATCCTCGCTGGAAAGAAGTGTAATCTGTCTACACTGTTAAATGATGCTGTTCCTTTTTACAGGCAGCAGTTTAACCCTTAGCTGTTTATGGTTATTACTGTCGTTTTGCTACACCATTTAAATGTAATTACATAATTATGTAATATATGGTGATGTCCTCTCATGGTGTTTCTGAATTAACTGTGAATTATATGGTTATCTGTGGCTTTAAGTTCAGAATCCACACTTTCTATAGGATTCCTCCTCCTGTTTCAATGAGATATAAGTGAGAAATAATTTGTAAAAAAGTACAGCATTGCAAGTGATAACTGTGACCTGCCTGCATTAGGATTACATGGAATAAAATTCATTACATAACGTACTTCAATGTTAAGAAAGCTTTTTCCTTCTGGATTTTTTTTTTATTGTGACTAACTACAGTAGTATGCACAAGTTTGGGCACCCCTTGTCAAATTACATGTCTACAGAAGACGCACTTCTGCATATCTTAATGAACAGTTATAATTTATTTGCTGAATTTAATATATATGGGGGAAAATAAAACATAAAATATGCCCAGTACAAAGGTTTTATTTATTTTTACCCAATATGTTGAACTCAGCAAATAAATAGAAATAGTTCACTAAAATGTGCAGAAAAATGCCATATTTAAGTTTGCTCCCTGTAGAAAATGTTGTTTTTATTTAGAAAATCAACAAAAAATGTATTTTGACCAGGGGTGTTCAAACTTGTGCACACAGTGTTCATTCTAAAATATGAATATGACAGACAAGACAGGCCAAGCTGAGAGAGAGAGACAGTGAGAAGAGACAAGAAGAGGAAAGACAAAGAAAAACAGCAGAAGTAGAAGAGATAAAAAGAGGGAGAAGTAGAGAAAGTGAGAGAAGAGAAGTGAAGAGAGAAAGAGAAGAGTATGTATCTGTCCACACAAGAAAGAATAAGACATGGAGACATGGAGGTGACCGTTGGTCATCAGCAAACACAGCAAGTCCTGTTCAATGGTGAGAGAGAGAGAGAGAGAGAGTGAAGTGGGGGCACAGGTTGGGTTGGTCAGTTGTCAGGGCAACAGTGGCCCCTGGAGAGGAAAGGGGGTGCCTGGTCTGGGCCGGCAAGCTGAGCACCTGCCCTGCTCTGATCTGCAGGGAATTACCCTGCCTACAGCAGATGAGGACCCTTAAAATGAGAGAGAGAGGGAGAGAGAGAGAACGGGGTATACAACAAATGCGAGCATCTGTCCAATGAGAGGAGTGGAATTTATTTATTATCTTGGAGGAAGAGGTGG